CCAATTTCTGCTAAAAAGCCTGTTAGGATTTTGATTAGAATAGAATCCATAGTGTAGTTTGGGGAGAATTACATCTTAACAATATGGGTCTTTTAATCTGTGAACATAGACTATATCTTCACTTAATTAGAGCTTTCATTTCTCTCAGTAATGTTTTGTATTTTTCAATATAGAGTTTTGTATGTACTTTGATAAAATTTTCCCTAAGTGTGTTATATTTTTTGATGCTATTATAAATTGATTTTTTTCATTTCCCAATTTTCTGGTTGTGTAAAAAAAATGCAATTGGTTTTTCTATATGGGCATTAAATATTGCATGTTTACCCAATTCACTTACTAGTTCTAATAATAGTTTTGCAATCCAAAGCAATTTGTAATTATTTTTGTTTCTACACAATCATGTTGTCTGTAAATAAAGGCATGTTAACTTTTACATCTTTGAAAATGTACTTCACTCTAGTTAAAAATAAATAATGGAATGTTTCTACTTTAGCCTGCAGGATGTCATCTAACAGGTTGATATATATTTATTTCATAGGGAGACTAACCATTTTTAAACTGAGAACCTTGGCCATGGTTGGACAAACAATCGTCATAAAAACAATTGTCGTATTAGAGCTTAGTAGGTGGAACAATTAAAGAGAATTATTGCCACGGTAATATTGTAAAATATTGTTCGTGGGCATTCTATTATAATGCTATTTTGTATTAAAGAGAAAATTGTGCTTTATTCTTCTTTCTTAACTATAGATGGGCAGATATTGTTACTGATCTAAACACTCAAAATCCAGAATATCTAGATATCCGGCACTTAGAGAGGGGGCTGCAATATCGAAAAACAAAGAAGGTAAGAACACCATTGTATTTGGAGGTATTTCACAACTGGCCAGAAAGCAGTGTTTTACTCAGCATTCTAAATTGTAAACAGAAACCCAGTTCAGACCATCTTAGACAGAAGAGTGAAAATTATTTTAAGGGCACAGGAGTTTCTTTAAAATCAAATGGTAAGGAGTATAGCCTTGATTCACAAAGGACTGGTACCTGGTAAAAGAATGTCAGCAGGGGCCAAGTAGCTAGTCTGTCTCTTTTGGGAGTTACATGTTGTTCCTCTCTGTTTTTGTCTGATTATCTACTTCCTGAGAATATCATCATCATCTTTATGTCTCCCTTCAAGATGAACAGTCTAGACTGAGACTGGCCTGCCTCAGTCCTAGCTCCATAGTCTTGGCCCAGCTTGGGTCAGGTGTTCATTCCTGAACCAGATTACCGGTAACTGTGGCCATGGGGCAGAGCCATGTGTACAAACAAGACTGCTGGGGCAGTTCTCAGAGAAAGATAGATTCTGTGGATTGGGTAGACATCCCATTGATATAATCCTACTAACAAATGAAGCATGTATAGGAGAGGAAGAGAAATGATAGTCTTTGGATCAGGCAGATGAGGAAGTTAGTGTGTGAGTGGCATATGGGGTATTTGGCTCCTGTGGGTATTGTAATATTTTTGTAAAGGTGGCTGGTCAGGAAAGATTCAGGATAATGTGATCTGATGATGTCTGAAAGGATAAGTGAAGGCAGGGAAAAAATAAGGGAATTCATAGGAGCCCACATATTAGTGTAATTCATTTCCCATCATTTTCTTCACCCAACTTTTTTTCCTTTTTAGGTTGGGGGAAATTTGCATTGTATTATAACATTCCAGAGACTTAATTGGCAAAGATTTGGCCTTTGGAACTTTCCATTTGGAACCATTAGACACGAGTCACAACCTCCAACACATGGCCAAGGAATTGCCAAATCTGAGAGTGAAGACAATATCTCCAAGAAGCAGCATGGACGTCTGGGCCGGTCTTTCAGTGCTAGTTTCCATCAGGACTCCGCATGGAAAAAGATGTCCAGCATCCACGAGAGAAGGAATAGTGGCTACCAGGGTTACAGTGATTATGGTGGGAATGACTGAGTACTATGGGTACTAAAAAACTCGTGTTGCAACACCACTGGTTTATACAGGACTGCATTAAGACAGTAGAAGATTTTATTAAGTCTGCATTAAACAGGAACAGATCTTGTGGTATAAAACATAACCTTGTAGTTCTCCAGTAAATAAGCTTGTATGTGATTATGATGGGTGATTTCAGATATATAAGCAGATAAGCACAGATTATTGTCCTTTTAAATTTAAGAGTATATAAACATTCTGGGCAATTTAACAAAATACAATAAAATTACATGTAAGCAAGTCACATTTACTTAATAGCATCACGATTTGAAATAGTTAAGCATGACATGATTTCTTATGACTTGATTCCCCAGACATTTGTTGCAGACATTTATTCCTAAACTCATGGATATAAGGCACCATTTGTCCTTTAAAAAAAAAAGGGGGCTGTTGATTTCTAGTTTTCTCTCATGGTTAAAGCTCATTTAAAATTATTCAGTGAGTCCAGTGATTTGTTTACTTGCAGCAGTATCTTGCCTGCCTCATTTGTCTCCTGGTTAACTTTCACAGGATTTTCAATAAAGAGGCAAAAGAGAAAAGATTCAAGAAACTAATCCTTTCAGTTAGTGCAAATGGGTGACTTAGTGCATTGATTCAGGATATTCTTGACTTTCTTGACTTGGTATGTTACTGTCAAATATTGACAAGAACTTTAGGTCTTGAAAGAGTTCTGTAAGCCTACAATAAACCCTGTTTTAGGGATAGAATAAAGGAACAAGTGGCATCTGTAGTTATCTATACCCAAGATAACCTGTGAAATGAGATCTGATGTTTGACTGGTCCTTCACCATGGAGTCATGTTGATAACAGCATTAAAGATGCCTTAGGAATGCCCCGTCACTCAGAAAGCAACTATTCATGTTCCAAACTCTGGGCTGTTAACTTTTAAAAACCATATAGACCATTAGTTGTTTGAAGTGAAGACTAAATAGTTCAGAAAGTGTGGGTTTCATATATTTGAACTCGTCTCTAGTTGCTGTCAATTTTTCTGATGCTGTCAATCTGAGACTCACAAACGACTAGGATCTCTTATTCATTTCAGGGCCTGTTCCAGAACTCAAATCAGTAACTTGATTATTACAAGGTGCTGAATGTGTTGGTAACCATATTGCAATACACCTCAAGGAGAGGGTTCAGATTTTTATTTTTAAAATATTTTCATTTTCTTCTCTTGAATTTTATATCCATTTACCCACTCAGACATGTCTAGCCTACAGAAGGGGATATATATTAAGAAAGGGTCATTTTTCTGAAGAAAATATTTTGCTTGAAATGCAAAGGACTAAAAGAGATTTTTGTAGGTTGTTGATTTTGTTACTTCATACTGGAACTTTTAAGAAGTTTTCATCAAATAAAGTTTTGTTTTCTACTTTTAATCACGTGAATGTTTTGAACCTTTCTTTTAGGAAGGCAGTCGTATCCTTATAATTTTGTTCGAAGTACATGACAATTTGTCAGTTCTACCCAAGTCGTGTGTTTTAAGAAACCATGTTGTATCTGACTTTTATAATCAATGAAACAATATGCATTAATGACTATAATTTTATATTTCTATAAGACTTTAAGAAATAGAAAATTTAATTCTTGTACTAGCTTGAAACAAATGAAGTTGTCAGTTTTGTAGGTCAAACATGGTTGAATATCAACCATTTCATGTAATTTAACTAAGTATTTCAGAGAAGAGGAAGGTAGGAAGAACCAAGAAGGAGGAGAGAAATGCAACATAAAGAATACAATGACATGGGCTGGCCTAGTGCCTCAGTTGGTTAAGAGCTCACTCAAGAGTTTGAGCTCTGAGCAACAGCAGTTCGATTGCTAGCCCGAGCTGAGCAGCCGCTGAGTTGCCAACAGGTGGCAGGATGGCTCAGCTTAAAAAACAAACAAACAAAAAAGAATAGTGACACCTTGAAAATGAGGAGTTTGTACAGATTGCTTATTGGTCATAAACACTTTTTTATGAAAGTCTTGATATGATCACTTGATGACTTGACTCATTAAGATTGAAAGTTATTAAGAGCACACTGAGGTTTACAGAGACTACTTACTACTTTTCTAGAAACTAAAAGCAAGTTACTACATACTTCTCTTTCAATTATTAATAAATTCCTGTCATTTTATTTTCTTGGTCAACTCTTCTTAGGAGTCTCCATAGAAGCACTGAGGGTTCAAATATTGGCTCTGCACTTAACCTTGGGCAAGTTAAGATTAATTTTTCCATGCTTATTTCCTCATTGGTAAAATGGTGATAATGGTATCTATTTTATAAATTGTTTGGAGGAATAAATAAGTTAATATATGTGAAGTGTTTAGAACAGTGGTTTGTAGATAGGAATTGCTATTTAAGTGCTAGTATTCCAATAATTATTAATGCTATTATTACTCCAAAAGATGTGTATTTTACTGTTCAGAAACTTGATAGAGCCCTTTAAACAGCATCTAAAAGAAGCAATGCTTTGTAAATCAAATATACACCCCTTAGTGGCTGTTCCTTCAAAATATTTTGTATTTTAAGAAATATTGCTGTAGTTTTAAAATCACTTACAGCATTCAAATGCACACACTGGCTATTTGTTTTTACCCAGCTGTCAGATAGTAAAAAATGTTGTCACTTTGATAATATCCTGGAGCTGTTCATTTCCCACTACTATAATTAGGCCCCACTGGTACAGCAGCCATAGCAGTTCCCAACTTGCCTTCTCCCAGACACAAGGGGCTCAGGCAAGGTGCTCCAAAATGTGGTGCATTCTGTGTCTCAGTTTTACACATAATTTTCTCCCTCGGTCATGCACTCAACAAACTAATTTGAGCACCACTACTTACTAGGTATTTCATCTTAAATAGCTGATCTCAGAGCAACCCCAAGAAGGGGTTGCTTTTATTTACACATTGGTGAAGAAATTTGCTTAGGATCACAGAGTGTCTTAGTTTGCTAGGGCTACCATAACAAAATACCACAGACTGTGTCGCTTCAACAATAGCAATTTATTTTCTCACAGTTCTGGAAGCTAGAAGTCCAAGATCAAGGTTTTGACAGGTTTTGTTTCTCCAGAGCCTTTTTCCTTGGCATGAAGATGGCTGCTTTCGCCCTGTGACCTCACATGGTCTTTTCTCTGTGCACATATCCCTTAAGTCTGTATTGTAATTTCTTCTTATAAGGCCACCAGTTAGATTGGATGAAGCGCACCCTAATGATTTTAACTAAATCAACTTTAAAAGGCCCAATCTCCAAATACAGTCACATTCTGAGTTACTGAGGGTTAGGGCTTCACCATAAGGATTTTGGAGGGGGACACAATTTAGCCCATTAACACAGGGCTATTATAAGGTTCAGATGGGATCTGGACTAATGTCTGCCAGGCTTGTGAGGGAATTCTCTGTCAGCAGGGTACAAGGTGCACTGGACAGCTTCAAACTAGAGGCTGACATTTAGGTCACATTTATGGAATTCCTGCTAAGTGTCAGAAGTGGGGGATATAACAGTCAACAAACTAGTTTTTGGATTCAGTAAGTTTGCAGTCTACTGTGGAGGGAGTCAAAAATTGAATAGGCAATTATATTAATCTCCATGAAATACAACTAAGAACAATTTCTGGGAATTACACATGGCGGAAATGTAAAAAGCACTTTGTCATGATTACCCCTGGTAGACTGTTAGCTGTTACTACGTCAACTAAACATGGCTACTGTGAACCATCTGGGCATAGAAAGGTTTTGCTAAAAACTAATTTTTGATATTCTTTTTGTCATAGGGATTCATATAACAAAATTACATGCTCATTTAAATGAACCTTTTCACCGAGTTTGAATCTAGTTTCGATAGTTCAATTTTGAACCAATATGTATAAGGCTATTATTAACTACTAATGGGAGTACTTTGCATACAATCACCTCCGATCCTAGCTAAAAGTCTGCAAGATTGGTTTTATACGAAGCTTACAGATGAAACAGTTCTGAACAAATGTTACTTTTAGTTCTGAACAAATGTTAACCGACAATACTATACTATACACCATGTTATAGTGACTATAACATGGTACGGTGGGGCTCTCAATCTTGGCCTGAGGGTTCCAGAGCCACCGCCTTGCCAGGTGCTATTCTGGCAATTAGTTTGCCATTTCTGACCTACACTCTATGGAATCCCAAATGCCGGAGAAAACTAAACTACATTTCGAAGGTTAAGGCTTTAAATTGTATTATTATCTAGCTACTACGTTATCGAACACATACTTATCAATTCACCAGAAAAAGCATCCATCTTTTTCTGCTGTCGCTCTACGTGTAAAGCAATACTTAGTATCAAGAGTTTTCAGTGGGGGAGAAGTTGATACCGAACAAGCGCGTAGAAAACCGTCACCCCAGCAAGTAGACGCTTCGCTTATCGTTTTACTGCTTAACAACGACAAAACGCCAACGTGGAGGAAGCGCGTCACTAACACCACATAAGCACAGGCTGAACCGTTCCCTCACTTCCGGGGGTAACGGCGCAGCAAATACACGTCAGCGCGGGGAGGCGGGACTTTCGCCCTACGCATCGTATGAGACGGAATCCAAGAGTTCCGGTTTCCTGTGAGTTGACGCACCGACTCCAGAGGGTAGGCGGTGTCGGAGGTCCATCTTCTGGCTGTGTGTCTTGCCTGCGTTGTCCCCTCATACCGGCCTTACGCTAAGAGTGCAAAAGTTTGGGCCAAAGCGCTGGGCGAGAGGCGGACCTGCTCCTCCCCGCTGCCTGCCATTCTTTGCTTCCGTCTTATTCAGGGAGGCGGTGTCACCTGCTGGGAAGTGAAGTTCCCGTGGGTGCCGGTTTTCCCTGGAAAAGCGCGGGTTATTTCCGTCTTTCCTGAGCTGGAGCTCTTCCCGGAGGCCGGGGCAGCTGTGCAGCCTGTTGTTGAATTAAAATAAAAGGTCTCCAGCGACCCCGCCGAGTTGTGCTCTGTAGACACGCCTGCCTCATGGGAGTCCACGGGCTCTGGAAGCTGCTGGAGTGCTCCGGGAGGCATGTCAACCCGGAAACGCTGGAAGGGAAGATCCTTGCCGTGGGTATCCTTAACGCGTGGGCAGTACTTGGGATGCAGTGATTCGCGGCAAAGATTTTACTCACTCCCGTGTCTCCATTGGGCGCAGACTGGTGTTGGTAGGATGACGGTCTCACCCCGGGGCAGCTGTAGAATCTCCTTGATGTTTGCTCCCCCCGCCCCGCCCGCCCGCTCGCTCGCTTGCTTTGCGATCGTACCTCTCTGGATTGGCGTTTTGGTTTTATCACTTAAGAGCAGTGCTTTACGCCTCTCAGTGCTTTAGTTCTCTTATCTGGAAAGTGGAGTTGAAAGTCGTATCTACACACACAGCGTTGGTATGCGGAATAAAGGGATTATTTAAATGAAAGAAGCTTAGAATTGTGTCTGCTGCTGTTAATATTGTAAAGCTTAAAAGTATTATTCCGGCTGGGAAGTCAGCGTGGAGGAAATGAAATAGGCTTTTCCTAGCGGTAGTTTTGCCTGCTGTTCTGAATCTTGCTCCACCTTATGTTTGTTAGAGGAAAGATAGTGTGGTCAGGTTTTGAACTTAAAAAAAATTACATACACACACACGTATATGCTATTTTTATTATGATTTTTGGAATAGGTAATTTATATGGTACTACACTGAAAAGATTTCAAAAGATATACAGTGAATTATTTTCCTCTCAGCCCTATGATGGGGTTTTTAAGGACTTGTTTGTATGCATGTTTGGCTGGTTTTGTTTGTGTCTTTGCATTTTTTTTTCATTTTCAAAACGTGAATGCTGTTTCTGAAACTTTGATCTTTTTATTTGTTAGGCTTTTTTTTTTTTTCTGTTCTGTTCCAGACGCTTGTGGTACCTTACACTAGTTCCCTAAATGGGAACCTTAAGTAAGATGGTACAGATTATATTTTTTGAAATGTGAATAATCTTAAAATATATCTATAATGGATTTTGGCTTAAAAGTTTTTATGCCTTTAGGGGACAGGGAAAGGTTTTTTGTGGTTTTTTTTTGTTTGTTTTGAAAGCATGTGTGGTATTGTTGCCCTCTGGTGGTTGCTCAAATCACTGCTTTCTAGATACTTTTTTTTTCTATTAAAAACTTTATTTATTTATTTATTTATTTATATTAGTTTCAGGTGTACAGAACAATGCAATAGTTACCCTTTTCACCCTCACAAAGTAACAACCCCCCTCCCCCCAACCACTGCCCTCCCACCCCGGATATCATGCTTATCTATTACAATTCCATTGACTCCATTCCCACACTCTACTCCATATCTTGTGACTATATGTATATAGAATTGTAGTTGACTAGATACTTTCTTGATAGAACTAACTACATGTGAATGAAAGTATTAATAGTTTTCAGTGATGGGAGCCATTAAAACTTCAGCAAGGACTTAGGTCATTTTATGATGCAACCCATTTGAAGAATAATTTGTAAAATAATTGAGATGATACATGAAGTTCAGCATTCCAGTTCTTTAGGAACTTGTCCAAAGTAAGGAAAGGTAGAACATTTCATTTAGATTATCTATTTTCAGATGACTCAGAAGCTTTTTTGGGACATGAAGTCATTTTCATGGGGTTATTGGGCTTTTCTGAAAGAATGAATCATTTAATAATGGACTGTCACAGATACTTCGGTTATAACGATAACCTCATATACATGTATGTATGTGTGTATATATGTAAAAGAATATTTGTTCTATAATTGATTTTACTTTGTTCATTTTCATGGGAATTTGAATTCAGATATCTGAAATATATTCAGTTTTTTTGTTTTGTTAATGAAGAAATTACCCATGACACACTAGGTTTATAATGCTTTTTAAAATAAATTGTTTGGTCTTTTTTACCACCTATATCCAAGTATTTTGTTTATTTATACAATCTAAGTGTCTTTGTCAAATAATAAAGAATAACAAGTGATAGGCTAAGTATTTAATCCTATACCATGTCTCCACCACTGTCATCCACTTTCACTTGGGCTATTGTAATTAGTTTTAAAACTGTTTTTCTTATAGTGTATTCTTCTCATGTCCACTAGGGTGATACTTAAGTTACATTTTAGAAACATTCCAGTTGACTGTACACACACATCAGCTCCTACCCATGCTCCTCTCACTGTGCTCCGCCTGCCACATTGTCCTTAAATGAAGCTTGTGTCTGTCCCAGAGGATTCACATTTACTGTTCCCCCTGCCTCACGGTTTACTCCGGCGCTCCTCGTGCTCATCTGGGTCTCTGTTACTTCTTCAGATAGGCCTTCCCTAACTGAAGAGCTACTCACCCCCGGTCTCTCTTTTGCCCTTTTACTCTGCTCTATTTACTTTTTTCTTGGCACTTACCAACAACCTAACATATCTATTACTTAATTTTTAGTTACCTGTCTTCCCCATTAGAATGCAAGCTGCTTGGGGACAGGAGCCATATCTGCTTTGTTCGTTCACAGCTATCTTGTTTGCTGCTCTATCACTAGGATCTTGGATATGCCTGACACATAGTAGCATTCAAATATAAAAATGATTATAATAGCTTGCTTTTCACTGTTTTGTTACATGTTTATAAGTTAATTGTTGATGGGCCTAATTTTTTTGATGGTAGTTAGGTAATGTACATTCATTTAAATTTTTAACTGTTCAACTCATTTAATAGCAGATCTTTGTTGCCTCCTATATGACCTATGAGAGGGAGAGCAGTGCCCACAAGTGTGGTCTGGAAAAGTCATGGAGCTCATAGTTGATTTCCCCTCATCCACTAGATTGTCAACTCCATAAGGGCAATTGCTTTGTTTTATTTAGTGCTATATCTCCAGTGCATTGAAGCATTTCTGCCACATAACGCAGTGTGTTTGAATAGCACTGTATAAGTAAGTGTAGGTCTTAACCTAGGCTGAGGAAGTGACCCACAGACTGAGACCTAAGAGTAGCAGGTAACTAGGCTAGAGAGGGAGAGGCTCTCAGGCAGCAGCACGTGAGAAGACCCTGGAGGCAGGAAAGAGCTTAGTGATTTTTAGGCTTTAAGAAAAGCCCAGTGGCTTGAAATGAGATAGAAACGAACAGAGGCCAAATTATTCAGGGCTTCGTAGGCCATGGGAAGTAGTTTTGGATATTATCCTAAAGGTAACGGGAAACTTTCAAAGGGTTTCAACTAAAACTATATTGGTGAAATCTATATACTTTCTAATCTGTATAAGACAGGTTAAAAAGTAGAATTGATAGGACCTGATGAGAGGAATATATGGGATGACAGAGTTCTGGCTCCGGTGGATGGGAATTCACTGAAATGGCAGCATGAGCAGCCTAGTGAGAAGATATGGAGTTCAGCTTTGATCATGTTAAATTTGAAGTGTCTGTGAGGCATCAGGTAGAGAGTCAACTAGGCCATCAGTCTGGGGTTGGGAGAGCTGGGGGGAGGGCATGGTGTGGGCTGAGGTAGCCTGGGTGGCTAATGCAGGCACGAGGAAAGAGAGGGCCTGAGAGGGATCCCTGCTGACGTTAGCACATTAACGGTGAGTTAGAGGAGCTAGCAAAGAGATTGAGAGCAGGAAAATCAGCAGAATGCCATGTCCCTCTGTCTTATGCACAAACAAAATAATTTGTTAAAAAGCATTGTTTAGAAAAGTTTTAAAATATAAGAAAACCCTAAGAAGAAAGCATAAACTATTTGTAATCACAGCAGAGATAACTACTCTTACTATTTTGATGTCTGAACTTCTAGTTTTTTATATTTAACATAATGCATATATTACAAAATGGAATTATACTTTCCATACTTTGTAACCTGTTTTACTTTGATTCTTTGTGACTATCATGTTGCAGCTTCCATTTTTAAGGACTCCTTGGTATTCCAGCAAATCAGTATATCATAATTTAGTTTTAAAAAAAGACCTGTTGGAAAACTTAAATTTAAAAATGTTTTCATTATTATAAAATATTCTTACAAGTAACTCTTATTGTAAACCTATGATGGTTTCCTGAGGATAAATGGCTGGAAGTGGAATTCTTAGGTAAAGCAGAATATAAGCTTTTAAGTTTTTTGCTATGAATTGCCAAATTGTTCTCCAAAAGTTGTGTTAATTTATTACAATTCTGTAGAGATCATTAATTTTCAAAGAACAATTTTTTTTTCAATTAGACTTTTTAAAGGACACATCTGACTATGTAAGATTTTAAAATTCAATATGTGAATAGTAGAAGTAAGGGTTCAAATAAAGTTAACTGATTTTAGATAGATTCCATCAGGGCTAGACATTTTTCAATTTCAAATGAATTGTGATGAATCCTTACTTTTAACATTTGGAAGATATCAGTAGTTAGGAATTTGAAGCTGGGAGGAGGAGGGAAGAATTTCCAAAATGTTTTTCATTAACTGTTCTTCCAGATATTAGCATTTGGTTAAACCAAGCACTTAAAGGAGTCCGGGATCGCCATGGGAACTCAATAGAAAACGCTCACCTTCTCACTTTGTTTCACCGGCTCTGTAAACTTTTATTTTTTCGAATTCGTCCTATTTTTGTGTTTGATGGGGACGCTCCACTATTGAAGAAACAGACTTTGGTAAGAGTCATTGATTTTTTTTTTCTTTCCACATTATTAGAAAGAAGGAAAAGTTCAGATAAACTTTTAATTTTCTCTTTAGAATTTTGGAAACCAACACTTTTTTTTGACATATATGCAATTTAATTTCTACTTTAAAAATTATCTTGAACAAATAAATACTTCTATTGAAATACCTTTTCTTTATATATGAGAGTATATCATGGGTACAATGATAAAATTTAACTTTTAATAAAACTAACATTCTCATAATGGAGAGTTTTGGAGTATCTTCTTAGGTGCTCTATGCTTGTTCCAGTTATGTTGTTATTGCTTGGAGCATTATAGAAAACCACAGGGGAAATGCTTCTCTGAATCCCAGATCGAGGGTCTTCTGTGATAGTGAGCCCTTTAAAGGTGAATTGGATCTTAGGTTATGTGGTGCCAAGTGTGACTAAAGTGGATTATTAAGGAAGGAAATTGGATAGGATATAAAAGAATGAAAATGAGTTTATTTTGAAAGTAATTTAAAACAATGTTTGAACAGTGTTGTGAACTATGGTGTAATTACTCCCAGAGACAGCATCCATTGAATATATGACCTTATATGTTGAAAATGTCAGCACATCACCTTATAATCCTACTAGATATTGTCTAAGGAAGTGAGGACATAGGATAAAAGTAAGGATTTGTAAATGTTTGGGGACATTTGTTGCCTCAGTAAAAGGTCTGGACTTGAATGTTGCAGTTTTTAATTATGTAAGGCATACCCTATATCAGGTAGTCTTTGGAAGGACTAGAAGGGAAAAGAGAACCCCAGAACTTATTTATCTACTAGTGGTAAGTTTGTACCCTTAAACATCTCTCCAGTTCTCCTACCCCATGATAAAGGTGTTAGCTCTACTGTAGCAATCACATTGTAATAAGTGTATTAAAACGGTGTAATAAGTGTATTAAAAGTACCTTAAACTTATACAATGTTATATGTCAATTATATCTCAATTAAAAAAAAAGAAAAGAGAATGTTTTGGTGTTTCTGCCTTATATTGAACCATTAGCACGGGAACTTATATTTTTCCCTACTTGAACATTTCTTACAAGGTATCCCTATACATGTTATGATTTCTTATGACATAATCTTGAATGTTGAAGGATAGAGTTACATATAAGTAATGCATTTTTATAAAAACCAATATCAGAAATTGGTTTTGGCATAACATTTTAAAGAATAAATCCTCTTGGGAAGCACTTACTTAATTATACTTATCATTACATTTTAGGCTGCTTGACATTAAAGGACACTTGAAAGAAACAAAGTAAATTAATAGTTTCCCAAATATATTGTAGAATAGCCAGTCCATTAAGTAATAGCTAGATGGAAACTGGGTGTCCTTTATATATGAGAAACCTGAAGATATCCACTGATACAGCAATTAATAGGACATACTAAAGCAGTCATAATCTGAAAACTCAGACAAACCAAATTCTATGGGAAAAAAGTCACAGAAATGTTTTTAGTATACTAATACCCTCACGTAAAGTCCTATGTCATTTCTTTTCACAGGCTAAGAGAAGGCAGAAAAAGGACTTGGCAACCAGTGACTCCAGAAAAACTACAGAGAAGCTTTTGAGCACATTTTTGAAAAGACAAGCTATCAAAACTGCCTTAAGAAGCAAAAGGCAAGAGGAAAATTACATAAATTTTAAAGATTAACTTAGCATTTTTTATTTTTGCATTGGATTCCTGTGGCTGCCTTTCCCTAATTTTAACCCTTAGTAGGAAATAGAGGGTGAACTAAGAGGACTCAGTGGAATGCCCATTTGACATCATAATTTGAAGTTGTAAATGTTCTCTGTTCTGTGTGAATTAGCTTTGATAATGAGAAAGGCAAGTGGTGGCGCTGCCCTGTGTGCAGGTTTTCCTGTTATGTAGAATGCTGTCCTTCGGGCCTGCGCTTGAGACTGTGGCCCAGGTGCTGAGGTACTGAGGAACTGCAGCAAGTTTCCTCTTTTCTCTTATTTTTCACAGCAGTGGCTTGAGCAGCCAGGTCAGCAGGGGAGAAAGCATTGCCCCTGGGTTTCCCCGCTTCTTGCCTCCTCAGCAGGCCTTGGGGAATCAATGGGGAAGTACTTGTGACTCAGAAAACCATTTCATAATGTCTGTTTAAGCCTGTGTGTACTTTTCAGAGATGAAGCACTACCCAGCCTTACTCAGGTTCACAGAGAAGATGACATCTATGCTTTGCCACCTTTACAAGAGGAAGAAAAAAACAGGTAAATGTTTATTTAAAAATATTAATCATCACCGTATTTAGACAGACTTAAACCTTTATGTTTGATCTATAATACATGTTAAGGTGTGTGGGAATTAATGCATCTGAGTTAATGCATTCTTGACCCCATTTAGAATGTTTTTCAAAAACTAAATTTTTAACTTTCTACCTTGTCTTTGTGTTTTGGTGGTTTGTGATGGCCTATTTTTCATTCTGTAGAGCTGGTGCTAGCACTGTTGACATAAAATTCACAAAGACATGAATTTTAGTTTTGCTTAGACTTGGCTCACATATGCTGTCTCTACCTATTTCTCAGCCTGGTGTCTTCTCTCTCATAGTACCGCGCGAAAAGACCACACATGACATCTTCCTTGATAAATCCAGTAGACACTTGGCAGTTTTCAGTTTAACATGGTACCTGCTGAGAGCTTCTCTGGCCACTTTTCCTGAGCTTCCTTTGTGGACTCTTTTTCTGGCTGGCTGTGAATTGTCAGCGGCTTCTGTGATTGACATGCAAGTGGAGGGTTAGCGTGACTCTGTTCTCCACCTGCCCCCACTCCTTTCTGTAGGGTCTCCTGAGAGGCCAGGGAAGTTCTGAATCAGCCCAGTTCTCTTTATTGTCACTGCTACCCCCATACTGTTGTCTCCAGGTTACTGTACTGGCTTCCAAATATTTCTCGGTCTCTGTCTTCTATCTTACCCTTTATCAGGAACCCCTCACTGCCAAACCCAATCTCTGCTTTGCAGTGTAGCCTCTATTAAAACCCAAATCTGATATTGTCATTTCATTGCTTAAAACACTTCCTAGGTTCTGTTTTTTTTTCTTTTTTTTTTGATAAAACTTCAACCACTTAATCACATGCTTCTCGATGCAATGTAATTGCAGGAAATTCCAGAAAGCTTTCATGACCCCCCAAATTGATTGGGATGAGGAGACTCTCTTTACCACCCCTTTGGCAACCTACTCTTTTCTTGTGATGAAAGTTGTCAGATCATATTATGATTGCTCACTTACACATGTCCCCACTAGACTGTGATACCAATAACAGCACGTATCTTGACATCTTATTCACCATTGTAGCCCCTATAACTAGCAGCGCCTTGAACTCAAGAAATATTTTTGTAAATAGTCATTAAATCATAGATATGTAAATGTGTGTTTGAATTTCAGTTCAGAAGAGGAAGATGAAAAAGAATGGCAAGAAAGAATGAATCATAAACAAGCATTACAGGTATTTAAATAATTTTTGAATTTAGAATTTATTCCATTATTTAAAATTAATGACATGGAAATGAATAATTTTAATGGGTTAGTATGAATTTATGAAAGTTATTGATAAAAATAAAGACAAATGCCTTCTTTAGTGTGTATATGTATGCATATGTATATATGTAGATGTAAAATTCACACACAAGCATACGTATGCAAATATGTGGAATTATGCATATCTAGATATCCAAAAAAAGCCATTTTTCTTTTGCAGTCAACCGATAAATAAATAGTTGTATATGCTTGTGTAAAATACATGAGTAGAAAACATACCACCCATAAATAACTAGTAACACATTTTGGTATATATTACCCTTCTCTCCCCCCACCTATGTAGTTGAGTGTGTATATGTGTGTGAGTGTGTATTTGGTTATATGTACGTATATCAAATGTACATGTATACGTATATATGTAAATGTATGTCTGTGCATCATATGCTGTGGTTATCTATTGCTGATAACTTAGTGGTGTAAAAACGGTCATTTATTATCATTATCTCACTGTTTTGGGGGTTGATGGGCTCAGTGAGGCAGTCCCTTATGAGTGTCTCCCATGTAGGTGCAGTCAGACTGGAGCTGGGGCTGGAGTCTCCTCAAAGGCCTCCTTTCTCAAATGTCTAGTGATTGACACTGGCTGTCAGCCAGAACACCTGCCTCCGGCCTCTCCACACGGCCTGAGCTGTTTAACAGCATGGTGCTGTGTTCCTGGGGCAGGCATCCCAAGAGCAAGTGCCAGGCAGGACCTGTGTTTCCTTCCTAGCCAGCTTTGGGAGATGTGCAGCCTCCCCTCCACCACATTCTGTTCATTACAAGCAAGTTAAGGCCAGCCTCTATTCAGTGGGAGGGAAGTTAGACGAGGTGAGTGTCAGAGAACCTGTGGCTATGTTATAAAACCACCACCACACATATTTCAATGAGTAGCTTTTTTACAAATTGAAGTTATACTGTATATACAAGTTTTTGAAATTTTTTTTAAGTTTCTCAAAATAGATAATATTCTTTGATTTCCAAGTTCACTGTTTCTTCAGTGTTCATATGATTTTGGTACATCTGGTAGAAGACTTTTGAACTAAAACTGCAGGATCCCTCAATTCCTGGAGGTTCCACATTATTAATATGGCAAGTGATAGCAGTCTTAGTAAAGAACATGGCATTGTGTTCAGAAAGACCTGCATGTAAGTGCAGGCTCTACTGTTCACCAGCTCTTTGATCTTAGACAAATTAACTTCTCCAAGGCTTTATTTCCTTTTTTTTGTAAACAAAAATAACATCGATACCTTCCTCATAGGGGTGATGGGAGCATCAGTGAGGGAAGCTCTGAGCATAAAGACTGGCCTGTCCTAAGTGCTCGTTGGTTTTCACATAACACACAGCATACATACATACAGGAAAGCAAATTGTATCTTTTCTTTTCTTTACTGATGAAGAGTTTTAAAACACTTTGGGTAAGTAGTTAAAATTTAGAAACATTTTACATTTCCATGTCTATGAAATTTCTCACTTTTTATTTCTGATTTTAGGTTAAGAGCAAACTAAAATTAAGAGAATTATAAATATTGTTCTCATCCCTGCCTCAGGGCCTTTGCACTTGCTATTTTCTCAGCCTTGGGTGCTCTTTCTCTGAGCAGGCTTCTTGGTGCCTTTCATGTCTCTGCTGAAGGTCATTTTTTTTAGTGGGGTCTTCTCTATCAATTTTTCTTCTCTTTCTATTCTTCTAATCAACTCTTTTATCAGATTAACCTGCTTTATATTCTCATTGTTATCATGTTCATTTGTTTGTTTATCATGTCTTCCTTCATTCCTAAGGGTAGGGACCTTATCTGGCATGATCTGCATAGAACCCTAGCATCTAGAACAGTGTTTGATATAGTAGAGGTGCCTGGTAACTACTTTTTCTTTTCAGTGAATGAATGAATGAATGCACACATTCCCTAATCTGCCTATTCACTTTAATGCCTAGTGTAGATGGTGTACTACTGTGTTTAGCCTATTGTAGATTATGTAGAACTCTGTTTATGATATAAGCATAAAAATATCTATCATAATGAAGAGCATTAAGTGTATGAAATATAAATTTCATGGTGTTATGTTTTTCTTGTTATAGGAAGAGTTCTTTCAGAATCCTCATGCAGTAGATATTGAGTCTGAAGACTTTAGTGGCCTTCCCCCAGAAATAAAGCATGAAATCTTGACTGAGATGAAAGAATTTACCAAGCGGAGAAGAACATTATTTGAAGCAATGCCAGAGGTGAAATATACATCAGCACATTAATGTGTAGATTGGAGAACTGCAGCGAAATTTTTTATTAGAAAAAAGAGAAAATTGATTGATAAGCATTACTTAACACAATATGTTTCCAGTAAACAGCATTTGTGTATCTCAGAGATCCTCTGAAGCATCACTCATCTATAAGTTTTAACTTATAAATGCTTACCCAAAGAAGCCTTTCTTGATTTCCACCCAAGGTCAGGTCTTGTCTCCTGCTCTGTGTTCTCGAAGATCCCCACTAAAGAGACCCTGTAATATTTCTTTATAGTTCTTAGCACCCAAATGTGCCTGTCTTGCTCACCTCTGTATTTTCAGCACCTTGGTCAGTATCTTTCACATAGCAAGCCCCCCGTATGTGCTTAGTGGTTCAATTCTTAGGTTAATTCATAAAAGTTATTTTAACCTATAATATACATTGTAGAATACTATTAGTAATATAGAACCTAATCACAGCGGAAAAATTTGTTTTACCTGGAAATCCCAGGTATCTCTTCCTCTGCTGCAGAGCTAGACATGCGGCTGGATCTTCATATTCCCTCTCCCTCTTTCCAGACAATGGTAGTAGGGAATTTAGTAGTAAATCCCTTAACTTAGAGCATGATGGTGGCTCCACAGCCACAGAAACCCAGAGGAGGGCGTTGTGCAGAGTTAGGTTTTTTCGAGTATGTCTTCTAATCATGCTACGCCCTGAATTATTACTCTCTTCAGTTGGTGAATGAGTTGTTTGCCTTTCTACTGCTATCACCTATTATTTATAATATCATTCTCTTTTAACCCAGTGTAGGACAGAATATAAATTTTTGCAGCACTATTATTCCTAATGAATAGATGTGGTATTTTGTCTACAGACTTTTGAACATTTCTTAAATTGATACCCAAATATTTGAAAAAGGCAGGAGGTATTTTTCTGTCCCTCCTTACTGTTTTTCCATGAAGAGTGTGAGCAAAGGAAAATGCTGAGGTATACAGAAATGATATACAAAGGACAGGGGTAAATTTATTTTCATTTTGGGGAAAATCCAGGTTCAGTCTATCAATCATTTTATTTCTTGAGTGTGAAAAGATCTTGGGCTGGTCTTTGAGGAAATAGAATTTGGATTATGTAAACAACATTGGGAAGGAATGGGAGAAAGACAGTTCCTAATGATTTGCTCCCCTTTATTCTCTTTCTGCCAACCACAGGGCCTCTGGGATCAGTAGACTAGGGGTACTGTGCAGCAGCTCATTGGATCTGTAGTTCTGATAGCTGAGGGAAGTTCTCAGCCATCCAGGTTGGACCTTTCTGTCATCTGTACATTGAGCAAACGCAATATTGGTAGTAGTAATGATGGCAAGAAGAGTAATAGTAATAATAATATTAGTGATAGGAACAATATAGTATAAGATTAATCAACAGATCTGCTTTTGACCCCCTGTCTACCCTTACTAGCTAGCTTTGTGGTTCTAAGGAGGTTACTTAACCTATGTAAATCTCAGTTTCTTCATTTGTAGAATGGAGATAATATTTGTCTCATTGGTGCTTGAGAATAAAATGGGGTAGTATATATAAAAGCACTTAGAAAAATGCCTTACGCAGGAAATGCTTTGTAAATGTTAACTATTATTAACTGTGATTGCTGTGATTTATTGTGTTTTTTATGCTCCTAGGACTGTGTTGGGTACTTGACTTGCATATTTACTTGGATTTTAGAAAGGTGTCTATTAAACCATAATCAAAATGT